GTAAGCACAGTCTAAAAGCATTTGAGGGATTGTGCTTAAAGCTTCAGTGTTTGACCAACAACAGTATTGTCCACCAATTTATTATTGTGTTTTTAACACAAAAAGAGTTTCTTGCAGAACTGCAATTCTATCTCATATTAAGGCGCATCTGTCTTCTCCATGGTGCTAATAAGCTTAGTATAAGCGCTTCCCAAACCTACTAGTTGTTATCCTCTCATATGCAGTGTGAAGTCTTTTCAGGACAGAGATCTTTTGTGGGACAGAGATACCTACAAAAGCCAGGATGACAATCTAAGCGGAAATCACTTCACTCCGTGATCATGAGACACACTGTACATATATTACATCAGGAATTGGAATTTATAGTTAATACATACTGTAGTTGAATATTTTATTGTAAAATGAATGCTCTTAAGGTATTTTGATTCTGTTGTTTTTAAAGAGACTAGTAAAAATGCTCAGTACATTATCAAAAACTGAACATTGAAAGGAACTCATCATTTTATTTATTTATGTATGTTTGGACAGAGATAAAGTACAAAGATTGATTACTCAAGTACTTGTGGCCTATCTTGATGAATTGATCATTCACGCCTGGCTGTGAGTCACTTGAGTCACTTGGCTCCACAAGCACTAACTGCTTTCATCCGTGTGAGAGTTTATTGGGGAGAGGTGATGAGGTGTTAATATGTTGAATTTCAAGCCTTCTTGGTGAAGGAACCAAAATGACTTACTAAGAGTACACTGCCTTCATTAAATAAGCATGAGGTATGACTAAGTCACCATGTTGGTACTTGCAATTTCTGACTTGGCAAAACACTATAGCCAAACACTGTCCATCAATGACAGGCCTTGACCAGTAAGAGCACAGGTAAATAACATACTGCCATGATAGAAATATCATCCTGTACTATCTTTGTGATCAGATTCACACTGCCTGTTCCACAGCAACAGAAATGCTAGGTTGTAAGAACTTGTGAATCAGCATGCGCCAGTGAATTAAGATATGCTTTATCTCCCATCCTTCCACATTTCCTTCCAAATTAGGGTGGGAGATAAAAGCAGTATTGGTCCCTAAGAATTTCAGGGTATGAATATTAATTAGACCTTCATCCTTTTTCAAAGCTGACCATGGGTGCTCTGACTTTTAAAGTACAGTATAAGAGATGGAATGAGAAGACACTTTGATTTCTTGAAAAATCGTAAAAGAACAAGGGACATTCATATTCATACCCATAAATTAGGATGAATGCCAAACTGATTATAAAGTGTCACTGAAGATTTATTTATTCAAAAGTTATATTTCAGTTTAATTCATTCCAAAATAAAATTGTGTTATGTTCTGGAAAATTACAAAAGAGGAAAGTGACTTTGTCATGAAAGGAGTATAACATTGCTTGTAGTCTGCAGAACAGTCTGTGGTGAAAGACTATATAAATATAACAGCAACTCTGTATAAATGTTAGCACTGCATACTTTTATATAATGTATGTCCTTCATGCATGAATAACAGGATGAATTTTAAAACTTTTTCATGCTGTGGAAATAAGCCCCGCTTTTTGTGTTTTACATCCAGTTAATTCTCCAAGCCTGTATTTAATTAGCTTTCCTTCTCAAGGACTACATTCTTTCTGATCAGAGATGTACCCTTGAACATTGGGGTGCAAATTATGTTTGGGAAAAAAAAACCCAAACAAACATGAAAAAACTAGAGAGCCATACTGTAAAATACCAGTACATGAATCTTGGCCCCATACTGCGTTATACTACTACTAATAGTAATAAACTTTATTTTATATATCACCTTTAAAAGGTGGCTTCTCAAAGCGCTTGGGAACAATATAGAGCGGGTTAAAACAAATAAAGACAAGGGTGACAGAGAAAGAAGAAAAAAGAAGATTAAAAAATGAAAAGAGGCAAGAGGACTGACAGCCAAACGCACCAGCGTTCCCTCTCATTCAGAACCGGAAGTGAATACCTATCTATGAATTTCTGCCCTTCTTACTATGATTGCTACTGTTTGCCCAGGACGCCTATCATAAGAATAAGGGTGTCAGTATCCTGGCTAAATTTCGCTCTGGGCTTGTACAGCCTATCCTACCTAACAATTGCCCTAAATTCTACTGCTGAAGCAGTTTTTACTCCTCTACTTGATCTGCTCTGCTGTAAGGGGCTGGTGCATAATGCCTATTGCACATCACTCAAGTGGATACTGCACTTTAGGGAGGGTGAAGAGTGCCCCTTCTGATACATTTAAAGGGCTTTGGGATTCTTTTGGGATGAAAAGCGCTATACAGTATAAGTATGATTAATTCTTGATGATCCTTCATGATAAGAATGAGTCAGATATTAAACTGCAGGAAAGATGTTACAGCGTACAAAATAAACTAAAACTGACACTCAAGAGAAAGAATCCCAGTTTGAAAGCTGGCATAGCAATAAGTGAGATGGTTTGGGATGGGGAAGCAAAAAAGGCATTCTGACTGGCCATTCTCCTGGCAGTAACTAGACAGAACCTGGCTGTCATTTTCTGAATTTAAAAAGGAGGTAACAATTCAGTTGAAGAAAAAAAACCCCATGAGAATTATGCTAGCAGCTCATGAAGAAAATAATACAGTTTCCTTGGAAATATAAATTAATATAAAACAATGTAAAAGATACAAAGGTTTTACTGCCACATATAAACTAAGGAATAAGAAGATCTGGGGGGTTTTCAGTTATTTCCCTCTAATTTTGTTAATCCAGCCATGAGGTAAATTTAGTCTTTACAATAAACAAGGCGGTCAGAAGTCATTAAATAATCTTCCACTGAATTTATATTCCATGAATGGATAATTATTTTTACTATAAGCTGTATGTTAAAATATTATTAATATGAACACTGGATGACGGCTGACATTGTATTTCCATCATTATTATTATAATAGAGAATTCAAAAGTACACCAGGCTCTATTTTTATTCATCTGTTGAATGCCATGCAATTGAAAGCTAGTTTTAGAAAAACAGAGGCATTCAGTATCTGCTGCACAAACCAATGAAATATGAATTCATATATGAAATGCATAAAAAATCACAATTGTCCTAAATTGTCCTAAATAATTTTGCTAAGTTTCCGAATGCTGAAATCAAAATGAATTTAAAATAATCCCAATCAGCAACCAGTATTTCTTTGAACCTCCTCTTGGTTTGATAAACCTTCTTATAGGTTCAGGCACTTGTCAATAGGGATTTCTGATCATTTTTCCATATACAACTTCCACTTACTCAGCTGCTAGAAACTTATCTGAACTTTCTGAGACTATTTGAAACTGGCAATGGCTGAGAACACCAGAGGCTTACATTTCAGAATTGTATGACAAATTTGCAGAATGTAAATAAGTTTTAACATTGTGTATTTAGAATGCTATAAAGTTATTTTGCATAGATATCCTTGTGTAATATTCAAAACTGCAGTTACAGGCAGTTTATGTTTTAATTTATTCATGCAATAAATATTGAATAGGCACTTTCATTATTTTCTGCTAATACTAGCTTTCACCAAGATTCTATTAAGGGTATAAATTAATTTGGCATCAGCTGTGTAAGTTAATATTAATAGGTTTGATTTGATGTACATTTTTCAGTGGATTAGTCTGAATTTCCAAATAATATTCAGTATTTTATATTATCTTAATATTTAGATCTCTCCAGCAATTGAAATTTAACAACAAAAGAAAAAAAAACACTTCATCGATCATTAAACGATTTTGCTCACATGCAAGAAAAAATGCATGAAGACCTGATACCTTCTACAGCCGATTTAATTTAAAACCAGACAAAAAACTAAATTAATGAAAGTAAGTAAATTCACTTTTGACCGTCTGGGTAGACGGAGATATTCCGCAAAATATTGTCCCTTCATCTACATATTGTTTCTTCATGAAAAGTGTAAGAATTGGAACAGTGAAGTGAAATGTATCTCTTTTTTTTGCTGTGTACTAATGAAATTTGTATTTTAGACCAAAAGATTTGATATAAGATAATATAGAGTTGATTTGATGTAAGAAATACAGAATTTCAGCTGTTGTTATTGGGTATTATTTTTTAGCCACATTAAACCCATATCATTTAATGTGTTCAATTACCAATTTCTTCAGTATCCCAAAAATATGCTTTTCACTGTATGTGAGGAATACTGTCTTCCATGTTGGCCCAGACAACAACGCAAAGAACAGAAAGCATTTTCTAAGATGATATCAGTGCAAAAATTAAGGAACACTAATTCAAAAATCCAATCAATCAACATTGTTGTTTGAGTCTTAGTGCTAGGAAAAACAGATTACATTGTGAAAAGCACTCAACGTCAAAAACACTAGCTGTTGGTGGGGGGAATCATAACCATCATATTTCGCAGGAAAATGGAGAGCTTTCTTAATGAAATGTGAGATTAATGTAGTAAATTACCAAGTAGTAATATTATTTTTACCAAGGATAATAATGACAACACAAAGATAACCTTGCTATGGACATCTCGGAGCAAAGATCAAGCAACTCATAAGTTTTGGAGAAGCATAGCAGAGTGTGAGGCGACGGACTAGCACAGATTAAAAAAAAACAAACTTGCGTTACAAAACAAGGGGTATATACGCAGTATATTCAATTTCCTTTTCTCGGTGGTCTAGAATATGCATATTCTTTAAATGATGATTTATGGTTGTTGTTATTATTATTATAAGTGCGCCACATTTCAAGAACTGTGTCTGGGAAACATGATAAAATACAATGTTCTTTTAATAGTTTTCTTGAGACTTGTGTTTCTAACGTATTAAAATGAAGAGCATTGTATTTATTCAGCACCTTACAGTTAAACTGAAACGTCAAACAGAATGATAGTGAATTGTTTATTTTATAGGAACCGAGGCTGGATTCCAAGTGACATTTAGCGGAGTTTCAGTGCAAACGCACATCAAGAGGTTCACCCTTCTAGCGAATTACAGCTCACTGCAGGAAACCCCCTTACCTTTCCAATGACGTAACACACACGGGCAGAAGGCGTTCCTCCGTTAGGTCATTGTTCAGCCTGCCGTGACGTCCTCATGCTCCTCCGGCACTGAAAAAGCTCAGGTTCTCCTGTCTCTCCCCTGGCAGAGTGCGAGCGACATGCCACTTTAAACGCTAACAGCTTTCAACAATTCCTTCCTCTCCTGTTAGGAGGTTGCAATTCTGACATGGAATAGGAAAGTAAATCAATTCATGATCCTAGGAAAAAGAAACGGTTAGTTCTCTAACTACAGGTAATTTCTGTAGCAACACATTTGACCACTGCTGTGTGAAAATAGGTTGCCTTTTTCTTTGTTGTTTGGTTATACTGCTCACTACAGTATAAATCAGCAGGATCGCACCTATACGAACCATAAGTGAATTAAATGTATATAAATAGATGAAAGTCATGTATGTACATGTATACGTATGTAAATGAATAAATGATACATACCACTATAATTGTATACATAAAGCATCCGTCTCACTTTGGAGCAAGAAAAATAAGAGAAAACCAACTAACTGTGCCCGTGCAGGCAGGGATGAAAGACAGCTCCGGCTGCTGACACTGACAGCCGAGGGGTCGAGCAATTCACGGGCGCCTGCGAGATTCTCGCGAAGCATTGCGGATAGCGACGCCATTTTGGGAAGGAGAGGGGCAAAAGCGGCAAAAATTAAAAATAAAAAGAAGAAAAAAGATCGTATTAAACAAATCCGTCCTCCGCAATGGTGCACGGGAACGCCAAGGATAACGCTTGACAATGGGGAACTTTCTTGCTCGCCTGGTATTGCTCACAGATTGAGAAAGTGGATAGGAAATTGTAAAAAAGGAAGAGGCTAAATTTTGGCTAATGAGTGTGTCTTGTAATTGGACAGTGTTAAGAAGTGGTACCAGTGTGAGTATTTTCAGGGCCATCGGGAGAGAACTAGTGGAATAGGTTTGCCACAGGTAAGCGGACTGTAAAGAAGTTCAAAAGCCCTTTCTTGACGAGCTGTAAAAAATAGCGGCGGTGATGATCGATTTGCAAGCCCGTTTAAAGACGACTGCAAACAGAAACCAAGTGTTATTGTCTCATGGTAGTTGTGTGCGCAGTTGTCCCACGCTGGTGTTTTATTTTTCCATTATGTAACATGCGATGCACAGTGTGACGGTCGTCACCCGCGCCGCTGCGGCGATCCGCGGGCGCGGAGCTGCCTTGTCTGGACCGGGGGGTTTCCAAACCTGCTCCCGGAGGGCCGGTGGGTGCGGGTGCGGGTGCGGGTTTTCACTCCAGCTCCGCTCTGAACGAGCTAAATCAGATGGGTACCGTCTTAACTGCACCCCTTTAATATCGCCTCTCTCTTCTTCGGGTGCTGCTGCTTTAAGAGAGCTTGAAAACCCGCGGAAGAACCGACCCCTCCAGGACCAGGATTGGGGACTCAGGCTGGACTGTCGGGCGCTTTGCTCATCGCTTCTTTTTTTTTTACTGTCACCTTTTCGTATGCCATTAAAAAAGAACACCAAACGAACCGGACGCTTCGCTGAAAATAAAAACAGAGCAACATTTTGGATAGTTGGTGGTATGTTTTGTAACTATTATTGTGTAGTCTTCGCGTGTTGGAGATCCACTAACCTTTTTCGTATTCTTTCTCTTGCAGACGAGGAGCTGTTTGCCCGTTGGTCTGCATTAATAATACACTGTCAAGAAGCTGCTGTTTATTTGGAGTCCAAACCCGACGACGAATGGCCCATTTCTCGGCTTTTGTGTGTGCCAAATATGCCGAAGGACGGACTGCTGGCCCTGAGAATCCCGAGATGAAATAGGAAGTCCGTATCTTTAAATATCGTGACATTTACACTCGGACTTGACGAGACACACTTGGTCCAAGAGGTTTTCTGAGACTGGCGTTTGAAGAATATGAGTCAGTAGTTGCACTTTACTGAGTTGGAACGAAAGATTTTCCAGATTTTTTGGCTTGAATTGCCCGGAATCGGCTTTCAATAATGACAGATTAAAAACACTTCGAGATTATTCTACCGGCGGGTTATGCTGCACGTTTATAGATGAGGGCAATTGAGAGGAGCAGCCGTCGTCTCATTTTTTGTGATGTGATTTTTTTATTTTCTCTTTGTTTTTGTAGGTAGTGCGAGAATGGTGTCAAGATAGTCTCCTGTTTTGATAACTTTTGCAGGGGACGCCTGATCCTGAGCCTCAACCCCTTCTTTTTTTTCCTGAAAAGTGTCATACACACACTGATGTATCGGGCACAGTAAACGTTAATTCGCTTAACGTTGACATCCTTAAACCGTCTCTTCCATTCTGGGATTTGGGATTATTCAAAAGAAGATGGCAAGTTGATTGAGGATTACGTGTACATATTGTAAAGGACCCGATCTGCATGAGAAATCTGTAGGCAGAACACCGGGATTATTACATTGTTGGTATTTTTTTTTTTCATTGCTAAAGACAAAAGGAAGAAACGTGGAGCTTTTGGGAAGTCTGACGACAAGAGACGCCTTTTTGTACAGTCCTCAACATTTGGTTAGTAACATCTTACTGAACGCTTCGGCTTTGTTTTTTAAGGATTTTACCCTTAATGGATCGCAAGCTTTAAAAGTCGGAATACACTTGTGTATTCAATTATAGCACATGCGGATATTAATTTGACTTATGTTGTCGGTCTATGGATGGAAAAGATATTAAGCAAACCTCGCTATTACCTTATTGCCAGTAATTTATATTAAAAAAAGTATATATGTGAGTGGTATAGACCTACTTTATTTTCATACGGGAAGTAATAGCGCCTTCTGTCATGGTCGGTATTTTATTGTGTTCGTTGATTGGTGGTAGTAATAACTGAAAAATGATAGAGAAGAAATAACAGAAAATTTCAGTGTCACTTTTTAGTGATTGGACATAACAGCGGTATCCTGGGAAAATCTTTTTTTTTTTTGCAGACATCATTTTTACGTCATCTCAGTTTTTGTCCGCAGAAAGCCACATGATTTCGACTGTAAAGCTGCGATGTTTTTCTTCTGGCATCATAGGATTGCAGTGTTTGAGAGTACAGCCAAAAGATGGTACTCTGTGAAAGGAAATCTGTGGGCGGACAGATCTTAAGTGCACTTTCACTTCTTTCTGTGTTTTCAGACCGTAACCCTGTTGTCACCGCATGTTTTGTATTGGTGCCCATTAGCGTCTGGCTCTCGTTTGGGAAAAAAAAAAAAAAACAGGTGCTGGATCATGCATGCTGTAAATTGAAGTATTGAGATTTTTTAAAACTTTTCTTCAGGGTGGTTAAAGATTGCATGACATTGGGGAGCCTGAGATCCCAGGGATTTTCAATAAAGAAAGGTTTGCTTACTTTTAGCTTTTTAATTTCCTGCTATCAGGCTTTTGGTGTTCGTCACAGTTTTGAATTCTAATGGTTGTAGGAGTAGGGCACATGTTCTTGAATAACCATGCTTAATAGCAGGTTTTCTTTGTGGATCTGAGCATTTACTGGCAAGGTAATAGTATTGCATCATATGAATAGCTACTGTAAAATAAATTGTGATAGTTGTCAATTTTATGGTCTCTAGGCCTTTAGCGTTCTCTAAGAAATCCTGTGAAGCGGTCCAGCACAGTGTGCAGTCTGTTGATTGAAATTGAGTGTTGTGTAAAACAAGTGTTGAACATTTTAAGAACTGTGAATTAGTTCATTTAAAAGAGAAGCATGTACAATACATGGAAGTCACAGTAGTTTATAGTAAGACATTGAAGGAGAATTCTTTTTAGTGTAAGTGTAAGGTAACACATAGGGATCCTGGGTACTTAGAATTGAGCACCAAGCCGTTTAAGAGGTCTAACACTTATTCAGATATGTGGATGGATAAGGTGTACAGATGTTTGTTGAGTGTTTTCATATAGACTAGTTTATTATTTGGTGTTTGGACTGATGTTAAAGAATATATAAATATATCTGTTTTTTTTTGTTCAAAAACAATATGTGCTTGGAAGTGCAATCCTAGATTTTGAATTGTTAAATAGAATATTTATCAGTATATTTATGTTTTGTGCTCAAGGGAATTATAAATCACTACAGAGATGGTTCAAAGAGGGGGATGACACAGCATTAATGTCACACATCTCTGCTTTCGTTTCTGGTTGTAAAGTCTGAGTGGCATATTTTATATCCATGCAGCACATCAGTGTGAAGAATTCCTTTTGAAACCGGATTAATCACACACAAAAGAAAGACTGCTCTGTGACTGTTGACAGAGATTTTTAATAAGAAGCAGTTTAATGATTACTAAAACTGCTGAATCTCCAAAATATCTTCTGGTGCTTTCATGAAACTTCTCTCAACGTAATGGGCATTATGATTAAAATAGTATTTTAAAGTTACAACGTTACTGATTAGTCTTATTTGCAAATTACTTAAAGACATTCTGTTAATGTCAGAAGAATTTGCTGAATAGTGTTGGTCTACACTGAATTCTTTATTCTGCTTTCTACCAGCTCTATAAAGAGGTACTTTCAACTGTACTCTTCCCTCTCTAAAGGTGATACTCATTTGCTTTAAATTGCCTTGGAGGATTGGAGCTTGCTTTGTCTTATTGGTACTGTTAGAATGCAGGTGGTTATTTGGGCTGTTGTTGTGCAGTGTCATACAGAAATTAAACCCTGTATTTAGAATCTGGTCCCTCTAACATTTATATGTTAGTTATAGACAGTAGTTTTCTGAAGTACTAATAGTATTCAAGTAATTGTTCGTTTTTGTGCACCAGTGTTTCAGGTGGGGACTTCTTGGTGCTGCCTTGCTGCACTGGGGCCCTGGGTTAAATTCCAGACCAGGGGTGCTATCTGTGTGGAGTTTGTATGTTTCCACCAACGGGTGCTCTGGTTTCCTCCCACACTTCAGACATTGGTACAGTGTAGGTTAATTCTTTTGGGAACATTGGCCCTGGCGTGAGTGTAATTGTGTGTCTGTGTGCCCTGTGATGGACTGGTGTCCTGTCCAGGACGTATATTGTCTTGTGTCCATTGCTAGCCAGGACAGGCTCCGGCTCCCCGGTGAACCTATACTGGATTAAGCAGTTAAAAAAAAAATGGATGGATAGAGTTTTGAAGTGGTAGTTTGAAACTCCATTGCTCAGAACAAGGCTTGAGCATCTAGAAAGGTTACCCTGAAACGTAAGACTTTTTTTTTAAACTTAAAAATGAGGTTTACAAAACAAGCTCCATGGGAGGAAAGGCCTCTTCTCATTTGGTAATTTTTTATGATATTAAGTGATGTATAGTATCATATGGGAGACAGCAGGGTGGCACCGTGGTTAGCACTGCTGCTCCACAGCGCTGGGGCCCTGGGTTTGTATCTTCTCCCTGACTCCACGTGGGATACCTCCAGGAGCTCCGGTTTCCTCTCGCAGTCCAAACACATACTAGTAGGTTAATAGGCTTCTGGGAAAATTGGTCCTGGTGTGAGTGTGTGGCTGTCTGCGTGTGCCCTGTGATGGGCAGGCGTCCCATCCAGAGTGTACACTGGTTTGTGCCCATTGCTTGGCAGATTAGGCTCCAGCTCCTCCTCGACCCTGGATTGGATTTAGAGTGGTTAGAAAATAGATGGATGGATGGATAATATCATGCATTACAAGATACCATTTCTTAACGACTAGGCTGTGTCTTTGCTATGAGGAGCAAAGAGGAGAAATGAGGAGAAAAAAGCTGTTTTTATATTTAATGAATGTGAGTCGAGTGAACTTTTACTCGCCACTCATAGTAAGCTTATGTTATTCTCTGCTTTTAAATAAAATTTGAACGGAAGAATCCTCTCCTACTTTTATATAGGGCCAGTATTTCTTATTTTTTGCCCTATTTGCTCATTTATATGACTGTGCTTGTTATATACAGTATTGTCAGATGTTAACACGTAATGCTGTTTTTTCTGGCTTGTATTCAGCGTGTGGCACAGAATGAGTCCGTAGAAAACGTGATTTGAGTCTGTCCAACTGGCTTGTTAAAGTGAAGTTTTGGCCAAATGATTTGTGAATCTGTCTCTTCACTGTTTGTTGTTATTTGGGTATATTTAAGTATGATCCGTATTGGATTTTCCTTCAGCACCTTGTTAATCTGCTTTGGTTAAGGTAAAGTAAAAGTTTGGTTAATACTATGATATTGAGAACTGTTTTGTGTTGTTGTTTGATAGGTGTTGCTTTAACAGCTGATGTTCAATGCATGCAGTAACTAGAAAATATATAGAATACTGATTTAGGACCATCCGTCCATCTTTCATTCAGGAATGTGTTACTGTGCAGGTACATGCCAGTAATTATTTTGTCTGCTCGACATATATTTCAAGTCTGTAGTAGGGTGCTCAGTCGCATTTACCTTGTTGCAAAAGCACAGGTTGGTGTGTCATGTAATTCAAAGCAATATCCCAGCACTGCATGAGAGCCACTTAGGCCAGTGGCCTTTTTAATTTCTCCGTCTGTTAATTTGGTGATTTTCCAACACCAAGTGGTCCCCTAAGACTGAAGAAGACAGGCAACTGGTCACAAGTTTGAGAAATACTGGCATAAGTAATTGATGATCTTTTTAGACATTCAGAGGTTTCCCTCTATTCACGAGCCATAACAAAAAGAGACATAGCTTAACTCTAGAGGTACATAATTTCAGATTCTGAGAGTTTATTATTAAAAGTGATGCTTGCTTATTGCACTAGATTGCATCAGCCAAACCAATTTGAGATGAATGTAGGAAAAGTAATTGACAGTTTATTTCCAGAAGTGACTTGCAGTGATCTAATAAGTAGTTTAAAGCTAAGCTGGTTTGATATGATATTTCCTTTTACCTTAAATTCGATTTCTGTATTTTTTACACTCTGGTGCAAAGTAATTATATGAAAAAGTGCACCTTGGCTCTTTTAGCATTTAATATTTGTGATACAGTATCTTTAAATCCTTTTTGGGGGAACCTTGGATATTACTGTTTTTTTGCTGTACTTGAGTTATGAATTGTCTGAGCCTTTAGTTTTTTTTAAGTTCAACAAACCCCAAATCATCAGGTTTTAAACTAAAATCCAGAAAAACAAAGTATTAGGTTTACAACTCCAGCTGGAATGAAATACAACTGATTAAGAGTTGAAAACACTGCTTAAGATAAAGCTCCCCTAAAGGTAATGGAATTTCTTTTTTATGTCTTTTCCACTGCTAACAGTTCCATTTTGCTTATGTTTTTTGTGTTCCTACATTTCTCTTTTGAATGAAATCTTCAGCTTCAATTCTTCAATGATAGGTCCAGTCTTTTTTTGTCTTCATTCCTGTCATCTAAAAAGGTATTATGTGAAGTTCATTGCACACTGGGTGTGCAAACACAGCAGAAAAAATGACAAAGGTATCTTCCATCTAGCCCCAGCAGTGATGATGAACTACTTAAGTCCAAGCCAAAACTCCCCAATAAGGTGATACTGGGTGCAGCCACTGTTTCAGAAACCCGCTGAGAGAGTATCAAAGCCTGATACAAGAGCTCAAATTAGACTAGGAACAGTACCCAGTTCTTCTCTTTGTCTTTCGTGTCCTGTTAAACGGCAATTTGTTTCTACTCCTTGTATACTCTTTTATCTGTTTTTTATAAAAGTCTTTTTTCAGCTACACCAAAAATTGCCGTAGCGTTTTTTAGAAGAACACATCTTCCCTATTCTAAATTTTGTAGGCCGCAAATCTAATCAGTCCGAACTTTTTATTCGAAAATTGACAGATCACCATTGTACGACAGATCTCTCCGGATCTGGAGAGGTACGGCCTACGTATTCATTCATTTTTATGAATGAGAGAAAAGTGCATAGTAATGAGATATGTCAAACCTGTGGGAAACAAAAAAAAAAAACAGAAATAAGGATACAGTAAACAAGATTATTCTTGAAGAGGTGATGTTTAAGTTAAAGTAGATGTATTCAGATAGTTTCACTTTTGGTTTCTTCCTTTGAATCACCTTTTCTGCTCTCTTCACTTCATATAGGATTAAATTGAACAACTTTAAAGTGAAAGGTCATGGCTTTTCAAGCAAAATGTTTGCCCTGCAGTATTTCTCTGTTCTATAATGCAGTAGTGTAGTCACCAGCTCTAATTAAATATTTAAATTTTAATAGATTTATTATTAAATGGAGTCTTACTGTTAAGAAGGCCAGGTGATATTAGTCTTCTTTCACAAGGTACTGCAACTGCTATGCATCATCATACAGCAGACACTTCTTTTTCTCTCAGAAGCTCTGAGCTCTGTAACTCTCTCTTCTTTCCCAGGGACTTGCGATGAGGTGTTAATGCCTTATCCTCAGTTCTGGAGACCTAGACCTAAATGGCGCAGCATGATTTTGCTCCTGCCTGGCTTAATTTTCCTACTCCACCATCATCAAAGGTAATGCTTTTATGGTTCTGTTACGTAAAATAGTTTAAAATTAAGCCCCGCAGCTATTGAAATCGCATGATACCGAGTACGTGTTTTAATGTGAAATGGAAATCTTGAATACCCTTGGGTCTTTCTGGTGTATATTACTTTCAGGACTTTAGATGTTAAGTTTGTTAGACTGAATCCTTTCATATTTCTTGTTTGTGATGTTATGGTAATACTCAAGAATTAAAAAAGTGTGACACATTTGTATTGTTCTGTAGCCCTCTCTGAACTGTGAGAAGCTGCCTGAAGCTTCTGTGCGTCTGGACAACCGCAGTGATGTGAATCGCAGACGACATAATTCTTCAGATGGGTTTGAATCAACCAATGGTTGTCCAGGAGGAGGTATGTTCAGTTTATATTTGTGATAGGCAGTCTTCTGTAAAGAGATGTGATAATTGCTCCACTTTTGTTTGAACAAGCAGTAGAACCTTTCATTGGTGTTGTTTAGTGTCTTGATACAACTTATTTCTGTCGGGTTTGGTGCTAAACATTTTATGCTTCAGGTGTAATAACCAAACATTTTTCCAAATCCACCAATCACCTCATACTGCTGACCATATGATTTATACCACCTTCTCGTCCACAGTTCTAGTAAACACCCACAGCCACTTTTAAAACCAGGCGCTTTTTATTGCTATAGATTGTATTGCTGTTCATTAATACCCTCTGACCACTTCAAGAGGATGTCATCCGAAGAATAGTGAGCTTTTCCAGCAGTCTCATTGACTGCGTCTCTTGCAGAAAGTGCCGTGCCATTTACTGCGGCTAAACAAGAAGCAGACTGGCTGACCCTTTTCTGGAGTCAGTAAAAGCAATGAAGATCAAAGATCAAGCTTAAAATTCTTCATTTTACCCACTCCAGCCCTGATTATGCTAGCTTTTCTCCCTGCATCGATTCACTCAGATTCAAAAACTCCCAATCCAGAAAGACAAATGTATCCTTCAACTAGGTTCTCACCTTCCCCCGGCAGAGATCTTCAGTTACAAATCTCTGCCTTCCCCACTTTCCTTGTATTTGTCTATTACATTTCCATCTCTTTACTCCACTATTTTCACCTGCTAATACCTCATGCACTAGATATTAATAGTAATAATAATTGCCTACATTGGACATTCTACTCAAAACGCTCCACTATTACCAATGTGTAGCATCCACTTGGATGATGTGCCAGCAGCCAGATTGTACCAGTACACTCACCACATATAGCTATCAGTGGGGAGGAAAACAGAGTGATGATACCAATTCATAAATGGGGATTATTAGGGTAAGGGCCTAGGGGAAATTTGGCCAGGACACCGGGGTTACAACCCTAATCGATTTTCAAGATACGCCCGGGGATTTTTAATGACCACAGAGAGTCAAGACCTAGGTTTTACATCTCATCCAAACAACAGCACCTTTTTTATAGTACAGTGTCCTCGTTACTATACTGGGGCATTTGGACCCACAGAGACTGCAGGGTGAGCACCCCCTGCTGGCCCTACTAACACCTCTTCCAGCAGCAACCTAAGTTTTTCCCCAGGAGGTCTCCCATCCAGGTACCGACCAAGCTCACTTCTGCTTAGCTTCAGTGGGCTTCCCGTTGTGAGCTGCGGGGTGCTGTGGCTGCTATTCTCATATTCTTTCCTTTGCTCAGCATACCCAAGCCTTTGCTTTCTTATTCTCTTTCCCTCTTTCCATCACACACCTGAAGAAGAACCCAGAGCTGAAATATTTTTCCATCTTTTTTTTCTACTTTTCAAAGTGGAATTAACCAGTACTAATTCCTTTGCAGCTCCCAGCGCTTATGCTGTTTCCTGTTCTTAACTTGTTCACATCACATAACATATTAATCCTACGTTTTTTTTGCTGTGGGCAGCAGGTCAGAGTAAATGAAGGAGCCCAGTACAGCATAAAGGGCAAGACTGAAATTTCATTTAGAAACAAAAAAAAAGTGGGATATAAACTGGATTGTAAAACACATTGGGGGTTTGAGAATCTGGAAATGCAGTCTAGGCCGTGGGATTTTGTTCTTCACTACCGTGAAAGACATCTGCTGGATAAGCCACTTTGGAGCGCCTGTTGAGCGTTGTTTGTGAATGCTGTCCTGCAGGAGGTTTCGGAAGGAAAGAAAAGAACGGCTGGAGAGGACGAAGTGGTGCCGAAAGTGGGGGTACTCGCGGGGGCGTCCGTGTTGGGGGTCATTCCCGCTCCAGGCCTGGCGCCTGCCACGGGGCAAAAACCAAGCTTCTGAACGAGAATGGCTCTGGGGAGAATGGACATGGGAAGAGAGACGAAGGGGACACGCGCAAGCAGTTTGGGGCTGAAGATTTTGTAAGTCTCAGAAATGCATTTAGGTGTGAAGGTTGTATTTTCCGTTTGACATGTCCTGCGGCTCAGTTTGCTCGCGGCATCGGTTTTGGGCCCATGGGTGCAAAAGCCATATGTTCCAACTCACTGTTTTCATACCTGCAAGTCTTAACTTTAGTTCATGGTCTCTCGGGTGGGTTTTGATTGCCTAACTTGTACACATTTAGCTCGTGTATTCACTTTTCAGTCTGCCTTTTTAATTTCGGAAAGCAAAAGCTTGGTGACTAAAAACACACAGGTTTTTTAAGGGTGTGTATCTAAAACTGCTGCTGATTAGTCATTAGTCTAGGTTAATTAATGTCTAGGGGAGAGCAAGCATACGTGTCTTCTGATTCTGCTTATCTGTAAAGTCATGTTATATTTGATACTGTTTTGTGTAAAATCGACATATTTTGCCTATGCTACAGAGGCATTCAGACCTCTCTGATTTGTCTACTGTAAGATAGTAAGTAGTCATAAGTGCTATAGTCACATTTTAATATTTTATATTTATTGATATAAAATATAAGGCATTTTATAGTGTGGATGGAACATTGACACATTATAGTTTAATATATATTTTGTTTACTTTAAACCGCTTGAAACATTTAATTTTTAGTTTTATGCAACAAGTCACCTCTTTTTTTACATGCGACACTTTAAAGCTCTTGCTTAAAAAATGAACTGCTTTCTTCTTAAAGCATTCAGCAGTAGTGTCATCACCTTGTGTGCCTGACCTCATTGCTAACTTAAGGTTTGGCCTGTTCAGTACTGGGTTTTGAGATCTCTAATGAAACCACTGGCAGCAGCTACCTGGTTTTTAGTGGACCAGCGGATGAACCAGAAATTCCATTCCTTTGTGTTCTGGCGAAATACAGTCTTAGAAAATGTGTCCTCCCTAAATTTAAAGTGGTGGAGCGTTCATGCATCTGTACCTGAACGTCAGTGTAGTGGCTGCTGGAGTATAATTGGAGTAATCCTTGTTACTATAGTAGTGAGTATCCTCACTTGTCGTGTGGGGAAAATGGGGTTTGATTCCCTGATTGGAAGGCTGCTGCCTTTAAACCAATGAGCTCTATGTGTTGAATGGCCTCTTCTATATGTGTGTTGCTTTGAGATCCTTGGGAATATAAAGTAAGGATTGTTTTTGTTTGCTTGTCCTTCCAGATGATTCTATATCTTGCTCTATCATAGGTTTTGGACAGAGTTGTACAGAGTGGCAATAATAAGGTACACTACCAGGAAACTAGAAATGTTAAGTTTCTCTTTCCATTAAGTGCACTTAATGCCAACTACAGTCCATTTTCATGTGTCTTCCAGCCATCTCTTAATCCAGAGTCCGAAAGAGAGCTCAACCAGAACAAAGCTGTTGCCGGCGGTGTGTGGGGTAAGCCATTATGTTTGCTCAACATTCAATAAAGGCAAGAAAATGATTTGTTTTTAGAGTTTAAGATTTCTTTTTCCTCATGTAGCTCTTGCATTTGCATCTTTTGTTATATTCTCCCATCTTTTGTCCTAGTACTCTGTCGTGTAGATCCTTTGTTGCCATTCTTGAAATACAGAATTCCATCAAATGAATTTCATGCATGCATTTCATACTTTCAGATTATTTGTGGCTACAGTTCTTTTGAACAAATTAAGTGACCAACTATTTGTCATGCCTGCACTTGTGGCTTGAAACTCAACTGCTTCTGCCAGGACACACTGTGTCTTACACAGCGATTCTGGAACTCTGTAAAATATTTCCGTGTCAGTCACCGTCTGAACGGTTTTGCCGACAATAACCATAATTTGGTTTTGTGAGAACATCAGCTGTTTGTATGAGAAAGATGTCATAGATGTGTGTTCACTGCTGTACCATATACCATGGATTATACTTCAGGTCACGCATGCCATCTGTCATAAAGATTGTCAGAAGGTATCTTCTTCACTTTAGCCGGAAGTTTGCTTGCACAATGCCTCTGCTACTGTACTTCCGTAGTGTTGCAGCAAATGTGAGCAGAATTCTGATCCATCGGGAAAGGAAAAATTCCTAAGATTGATCCAGAATTAACGATGAATACTGTTCCTAATTTCATTGTTACAAGCTTTAAATAATCTTTTGCCCACGGTTTACTATCGCTAATCAATAGAAAGACTGTTTCAAGGATGAATAGTTAAATGATTTTTAAAAGTATTTTTCTGTTTCAAAACAGAACACCCACCAAACCCCAAATCAAGAACTTCCAAAATGATGGTTATAAAGAGAATCCCAAAGGAAGACCAGTCCTCTGCATATCCTGCCACCTGTCCTGCCCAGCATCTTTCCTCGAAGAATGGCACTGGCCTCACTGTCTACAAGGGCCTGGTGCCCAAGCCATCTGCTCTGCCTGTAAAGGTATTGGCCAGTGGAAATGCTTGTTGTGTCTAAAACCAGATTTGTTTGAACTGGGGGTGCACAATGTATCGGAGGCCGATATATTATTCTCGGATAAATAGGAAAATTGAATTATCATCGTTCCGATATTGGAATTAAAGCCGATAATTACAACTGATAATGTGGCGCCCCATTTTTGTTTGTGCAGCTAGTTCTTTTTTATGTGCACGCACTGATGCACTACACTGGGTACAGAACAGTTGCTGCAGAATGAAAATGTCAGGGTTGTGGAACTTTTTCACAACAGAATTGCAATTTGCAACAAATGTTCAGCCGAAGTACAGCGAGGAGGAAACAAAGTAGAGAGTTTCCGTACCACTAATCTTATGAGTAATTTGAAAGCTTGTCATTCCAATGGTTTGTTTAAAGAATGAGGCAGCCAGCATTAACAAGAAAACAAAAAAAAGTAGCAATTGTAGTGCAGCAATTGCCTGTCCAACAGGCATTTGAAAATCGCAGAAAGTTTGCCAAGGATGGTCCGAAGGCTAAAGCAATCAGCGACAAAATCATGGAGTTTATGGCACTTGATGACCAACCCTTTTCGATTGTGGAGGATCGAGGAATCCGTCAACTAATTGAGCATTTGGAACCCTGGTATATTCTCCCAAGCCGCTGCTGCTTTTCTGGTGTTGCCTTTCTGGTCGCCACACATAGACAGCCTCATCGTCAGAGACATTAGCTTCACAACCAACATACGGACTTCTGACATTAAGTCGTTTTAAAATGCAAAAAAGTAAAATTATCGGTCATCGGTAACTGTATCAGCCACAGCAAGCTGTTAATTATCGGTTATCGTTATGGGCCCAGAAATTCCATGTCAGTGCATTCCTAGTTTCAATGAAAGAATATTTTATGTTTTATTCAATTCCCTGAAAGAAAGTAGTATAGTTATGAAATTGCCATGTATCACATTTTCTTTTGGCCAAAAGTGAATTCGACTCCTTAAATTATATTTGATAAGTTACTACCATTCCTTGTCAAATTGCAGATTACAATTAAATGTAATATATTTCTGACTGGATTGAAGCAACCTAAAGATCGCCCAATGTGTTGTAATAATACGTTGGTTAACTGAGGTGTAAGGTTTTGGTTCGTATAGTGAAGTCATGAGGAAAGAATTCAAAAGGTTTGTATAACAGAAAATGAAGCAGTTCAGTTTTCTTGAAAATGGGTCACAAAAGAATGAAAAATAACAATCAAAATTTCAAAACATGTTGAGTCAGAAAGCAATGAATGTTGAATGTACTGTATGTAAACCTCCAAAATAATTTCAACCACTCTGGATGACAGGTGATTTCAACACTTGATACTTAGTGTGTTTTAGTTGTAATAGGATAACCTGCTTCAGCTAAAAAAAGTTTGATTTTTGAAAGATTAAAAATGTTATGTAAAAAAATACTGTCAAAATTTTTCCCCACTACTTCTTTTAGTGATTTAAAACTAGCCGTAAATTGGATTTTCTTCTAAGCTGCGAAATACTGGAGGGTGTTAATGAATATGGGACGTTATTTTTAGTAGGATTGGATAATTTATGATGTTAGCTAAATGTGGGTGAGTAAAAACAGAAGAAATGTGAAACAAGCCTAAAAGCATGGGGGTAATACATGCTAATTTAATTCAGTTCTAGAACAGAAACACTCCCAAGATAATCTTGCAGATCTGTCCTCTTGCCTTGCAAGTGTACTACTTGGTATAGTAGAAGCATCTGATTTTGTCTGAACAGCACAGTTCAAGAATAAAAAGAGAAAAGTTGTGGAAGAGCACAGTACTAGCTGCGACTAAACTAATTACAGGTAGAATTCTTTTTTTGAACCAGTGGTAAATGAGAAAAGCACAAAAACAGCATTCTGTTTCATGATTAAGGACATGTAAGCTGTAATTACATGTTGTAATCTTTCTCTTTAGGATTCTTGCCCCTCTAAAGATTCAGTAAAGAAAATATAGTTTGTTTTCCATGAATGTAGAAGATGAAGCTTTTTGGTACAATCTGAAGGTTTCACGTTTGGTGGAATATTTAGTCTAAGTGAAAACGCATTTCCTTTGTAAAATCTGTTTCAGTTTAACTTAAGGAGCCTCAGTCTTGCTGTCAGTTTAAATGAAAACTATTTTTCTTCAGGGCAGCCGTTCCAGTTCTTCTTCACCTGTGGACAAAATGAGTCAGCCTCGTTTAATGAAACTGACCCGGGTGCGAACAGACAAGAAGAGTGAATTCCTTAAAGCTTTGAAACAGGACAGAGGGGATGTCGAAGATCTTGATGAAAGGAGTCAGTGCAAGGTATTTCTGGTCTTGTCTGTGAGTTAAAGTAATTTTAACACTGCAGTGATTTTTACTTTATCAGAAAATCACTCTTTCATAAATTTAGGGGTTCTGAATCTGAGACTGACTGACCTGATTACAGTCAATCCAAAAACTGCTTGAAGGATATTAAGATGTACTGTTTTTTGTATTTAGAGTACCTTCATTTTAACAAAGAACATGCAGATGTTGAATGTCATCGTCATGGGCAATCCTGTGAAAAACATTTGCAATGTAAAATGTTGCCTTTTTCACAGACAAAGTTTAACTTAAACCCAGATTAAAACAAATCTTGGGCTTACACCCTCATGTCATATTTGGGCTTCCTTGTGATTTCTAATTGCACTTTGGGTTTATGCCCTCACTACAACTCTTACTCTGCATTTGATGAGTCCCAGCATGTAAGGATCCCATGACCCATGATTCCAAATGTGTGTAAAAATGGAAAACAAGCAACAACTGAGACAAACTGCAAACTACAGCTATCTTCCTGAGAAACCTTCAGGTTTTTTTTTCTGCCATCTCAATGTCTTTTAAATGAAGGGTAACGAAATCCTCCATATGCAAAACGGCAACAACAGCCTCCGGCAGAGGGATGAAAATCTCAACTCCTATGACCCTGCTGCCCGCCGGGAGAATGGGAATGGGAACGGCACAGCTCCAGGAATGACCCAGCAGGTCATCTGCTCCCCGGCGTTTCCCCAGGCAGACGTGCTGTCCAGCTCGCTGGAAGCAGAGCACAGGTGCTTAGTCAAGGGACAGCAAGGGACTCTCACTCTCATCGTGAAAGGAAGCTAATAGTGTGTTTCCATGCGGGTTAAAATAAATTGATCCTGTTTTTGGCAGCATCGAATTTTAATTCTTTGTAAAAAAAAAAAATCAAGTTATTATTGCGTCCTGTTGGATGGTTGCTTTAGCGTTGCTGTTGCTCCCTTTACAATTTCAAAAGCTGAGAAACAAAGATTTGGAAGTGTGTAATACAAAAAGAAGAGGACCCCCTAAGAAAAAAACTTTATATTTATATTTTTATTTAAGAAATATCAGTGCTAATCCACAGGGATTTAATTTGTACATCGCAAGTTCGGTATTTAGAGAGAGAACTGTTTTGTAACCTTTATGATCATGTTTAGTATCTCAGTATTCCTGAATATTCTAAGCTGAAAAGCAAAAACAAATAAGAGAAGAGATGCTGGGTTATTTCTCCTAGGCTCCTGAAAGAGATGGGCTGGCAGGAAGAGAATGAGAATGACGAGACCTGTGCTCCCCTCACAGAGGATGAGATGAGGGAATTCCAAGCCATAAGCGAACAGGTACATGTGCACCGTGTAACTTGGTTGAATTTCATCTAGTTGGCTCAGACATTTGAGGAATTTGTGTAGAGCATGGAGGTCACCCAAGAAGTTAGAACACCCCTGAATAATAAATTCTGCTTAGTTTTTTTTGTACTTAATTTCCATCATTAAATAAATTAGTTTCGAAATCTGGCTTTCTGTAGTATTCTGGCATGCAGTTCTTATAGTCTGTGACAAAAACATCATTAAACTTCTTAAACATCAAAGTGCCTTTTAGGTTTGCTGTGAATTCTGTGTACGTAGAAAAAAAACACTCAATTTAGACACTGCTTCATGAAATACAGGGTAATAATGTTTCTGTGTTGGTATGTAGTTGAAAGTTATTGTTAAGAGTTCATTTCCAAATGTAGCATACAGAGAAGCAAAGATGTATCAGCATGATAGAGTTTACTACATAATCTCATCAATAGAAGTAAGTAGGGAGCATTCAAGAGTACATACTGATATCTGTGTTCCATCAAAACAATTCAAAGAAACAAACACAAGGACAAAGAAGCAGTATACGTATCATGAACAATAACATGCTCTAAAAAAGCAATATAAAACAGAAATTATATGTGATCGTGTTTGTATGTACTATAGCTTCGTGGAATAGAGAATACATTTTCTTGTAGCTGTGATTGACGTTTTTTACATTTTAAAATGAAGTTAGTAGAAAAAATAGCAAAGGTTTAATAGAGGAAACCATAGAGAAAACAGTGTAGATAATTATATAATTATACTTATGTTTGTTTTATAGAAAGGTTTGCCAGCCCTTCCTGCAGAGTCCCAATCCAGTTATCCAGAAAATCCAATATTACAGATTCTGTTTTTAAAAATTGGTGACATCTGTAAGTTCTGATGAATCAAGCTAGTACAGTAAACCTTTGCTTAAACGGACTATAGATTAAACCAACAATATCTGCTTAAAGAGGATTTTGTCTAAAATCAGAAATGCTTGGCTATTCCTACAATAAAGATGAAATGCAATAAAATAAGTGCTACACAGGTTAGAAATTCAGGAAAATAAACAATTCCCTATTGGGGTAGGTCATTTGCTTATAATGAGCATTGTTGTTGTATGTATAAAATTCACTAAAGCATCTTATTTATGGGAAATTAAAGAGGTTGTATATTTATGATAATAAAGGCACAAATATGTTTATTGACTACATTGATTGCGATTCTTAAAATAAGAAAATGTCATAAAATAAAAAATTCTTCTCATTCAGTTACATTCTTTGGATGAAACCTCCCTCCCCCTGCTGATCGGTTAAACTGGGAGTTTACTGCAATCTGTTCATATATGAGAACTCTGGCTCTTGAGGGCTCATGATTTATAGATTTTAGTCCTAAATGATCTCTAAATTACTTAATATCTCTAAGCATTGATAATAGTGCCCTACAAAGCCTGGTGGATTTTGGCTCTCCAGAACAATAGTTGTAGGTCCCCGTGTTTCAGTGTCTGGCAACTGTGTGTGCTAAACATGATTACTGTATATCACTCATTTACTTCAGGAAGTAAACCCAAGTAACCATCAGATAGCCGTGTCTTTTGTAGCTTTGGTCCTATCCTCTGTATGAAAACTGTTCTGTGACTGTAGGTGATCAGGGTTGCCTAACCTCTCATGTTGTTTCTTTATCATCAGTTGCAGAAAAATGGCCTTAGGAAGAATGGTTTTTTAAAAAACGGCCTTCCCCATGACTTTCTCGGAACCTGGAGAAACCACGCTTTCCAACCCACCGCCGAGAACGATGACACGGAAACGAGCAGCAGCGATACGTCGGATGACGAAGTTTGAAAGGTGTGGATTGCCACAGTTGCGACTTCACTTTAATCCGTTCTGGAGCGAGCTGCAGCAGTTAGGAAAATAAAAGGACTCCAGTCTGAGTTTGAGCAAAATAGCTGGCTGAGATGCTAGAGGAGCGTTTTTCTGAAGATACGGCTATCGTTGGGACTTGAAAGAATGTTTGCTTTTTTTTTTTGCTTTGTAAATGGCCCCTGTAGAGAGAAGAGAAGTTTGGGTTGGATTTCATGTTGGAATTGCTTTTGTCACTAAAAAAACAAACAAACTTGTCAACTGCAATGTGAAAGAATCCATTTTGGAAAGAATCAATAAAATGATTGCAATTTAAAAATTGTCTGTTGTTCTATGGAGCTTTGTGCTTACAAATGTTAAGATGTGTGCATTTGGGGGCATCAGAGCAACTTGTAGCTTGTTTTTTATGCCCATCAAACTAAATCTTCAGGTTTGTATTACAATGAAATTGAGTTTCATGGCAAACTAATTAGAGGGCATATTTCTTTTTTATGTCTCCCTTGGGACAGTTACTTACAGGTATGGCTGAACGAGATATAAAAGGAATTATGATGAGATATAAGTAGTATAATGTAGGAATATAAACAAATCCAAACTTAAGAAAGGAAAATATCCTTTTCTATTAGGAGCTATTTAGAAAAGGTGTGGAAGAACAAGTAACAGAAAAGTAAAAATCACATACTGTATGCTGTGTCTGTCAACATTTCGCACAGTAAAACTGGACTCGAATGTATGTAAGGTGAATGTCTTAGAAGTATTGAAATTGACTGAACCTCCTTTTGAAATGTTAATGAGTTGCTGCAAACTGGTATTTGAACACAATTGTGATGGTTTATTTCATTTAAAAATTATAGTGAGAAAAAAACTGAGGTTAAGAATCTCAGACTACTGAGGATCGCAGCCTTCTCTTTTTTTGGCTGATCCCAAGTGTATTTTATTCTGTGGTAAAATAATCACTGTTTTTTTTATTTGAAATGAGGGCAGATTGAACAATAGTAAATACAGAAGCTTTTTCCACTGTGGTTTTAGAAGGTTTTCACTAAAATGGTGAGACCAAGACATTTTGGTAAATAGCCATTGAATAAGAATTACTGGGTAATGTAACACTGTGCATCAAAATGTCAAAATGTAAAACGGTGTTTTAAAGACTATAGAAACCATTACCCTGAACAAATCTGAAAACTCCCTCTTCCTTTGCAGGGCCATATAGCACGACCAAACCAAGTTTCGTAATTGAGTATCCCAGCAGATACATCGTCGACATAATCTGAAAGAAATACCAGGGCTTCTTTTTGATAGAAGCAGTAATCCTCCATAACCTTTTTAATGGTTAGATACAAGGCCAAAAAACATCTTATCTCTGCTTTTTTGAGCTAGGAAATGTCTGCATTTTTTAACATATTAATGTTAGTCTCCAATGCGTGGGTTCTACGTCTACCCATGCCTTGAGCAATTGTCGGAAATTTGTGTCAGTGGCTTATGAATAATATTTCTCAAAGAAGAGGGTTTTATTCATAATATCGCAGAATCTTGCTGGTCTGCACAAGTTAAAAACAAGCACTGTAGCATAAACCTGAAAAAATGAGTTCCTAGTGCTCAGTCTGTGTATAGTGACATTTTTCTCTTTTGACATTCTAAATAGGAGGTCGGCGGTGTTTGATGATTTAAGGGTTTTACTGTTCTTTGGGCTCTGGATCTTTCTATTTCCTAGTTCTGTTGAAAGTGTTACCTTTCCCTTTTGGCAAGGAGTACCACCATGTTCACTTAAACACACATGGTGCTTGTCAGCTTAAGGCAGCATTGTGGCAGTTAGTGCTGCTACTTCACAGCTCCTGGATTCCTGGATTATGTTCTTGACATGAGGTCCTTCTGTGCGGAGTCGATATCTTATTGTAATATTACAGTATGTCGGTTTTCTCTGAGCGTTCTGGTTTCCCCACGCCTTTTCGAAGACTAGTATTGCAATACTGGCTAGGTTACTTAGAGTCTGTAATTTGATCCTGGTTTTAATTTGATCCTGGTGCTGTGTGAACTTTGATTAGAAGCTTAATTCTAATTAACAATTATAGAAAACGTCCTCACAGGAATGTGAGATGATGCCATTTAGGCCATCTCATGGGTAATTGGTAGTTAGTAGTTAATGGTTCATCCAGCCATTGTTTTTAAAAGAGGTCAGGATGTTGGCTTCAACAGCTTGGCTGGGTAGCTTGTTTCAGACTCCCATAACCCTCTGGGTGAAGAGGTGCCCTGTTCTTGGTTATGAATGCACTTCCACATGGTTTCCACTTGTGTCCTCTGGTTCATGTTTCATTCATCTAATGGTTAACACTGAAACCGCCTGCAGAGCAGTGAGGCTCACATCAT